GATCCGTAGTTTATGTGTAACAGTCTAATATATATCGATATATATATGTATATTGATAAATGTACAAAGATTTCGGAGTTAAGAGAACTTTTCTAATGACTTTTAAAATAAAAGCAAAAAGATTTTTAATTCATTAATAACTATCTTAAAATTTTAGATGTAAAAGCCTTTTAAAATTAAGTGGTTTCTATCGTATAATTTACATTTTTCTCAGTCATAATGACTGAAACAACTTCAGTATCTTTTGACTAGAACGATATATTCATTTTTTTCTTCCTTTGACAACTCGACTTATATCACGTGGATAACTCGACTTATCCTTTACATAATTTTTTTTGACTAAATCTGTACATATATTCTTTTCTCCCTTTGATGAGTCGACTTATCTTTTACATAGGATCTTTTGACTAGATCTATGTACTCAATTTTTCCTCCCTCTGATAAGTCGAGTTATCGTTGTGTTTTTTATATACTGTTGATGTTGTATCATTTAATTTTGTATAGTCGATTAAAATATTTAAGTCTGGATTCTTTCAAATATTATCAATAATTCCTTCAAGTTCTTTAAACCATCAATCTAGTAACTATCAAGAAGCTAATAAACCGATGATTATTTAGTTTTTACTCAAAACATGTAGAATATGTTGCATGATGGTGACATCTTTTAAAATTAATAGCGCTTTAAATATAGAAGATGTATGAAATAGAACACCCAATCAGTTTATTAGTCTTCTTCGGCTTCGGCTTCGGCTAATTACTCCGACCCCTAAATTTCACAATATATCGTCATCTTAAAAAATCTTACGTAATTACATGAATCATGTACATAAACATAGACGAAAAGTATTCGTTTCTATTGCACATTATTTCATTCAATTCTATTTTTTCGAAGCTGTGATCTACAATCATGAGTCAAGAAAAACCACTTATTAATATTGTTATTATGGGACATGTTGATTCTGGTAAATCAACATTATCTGGCCATTTGCTCTGCAAATGTGGTGGTATCGATAAGAGAACGATCGAAAAATTCGAAAAAGAAACTGTCGAAGTATAGATTCAGATTTTATTCGAATCATAGATATATTTATTTTCGTATAATTGATAGATGGGTAAATGTTCATTTAAATATGCTTGGATTTTGGATAAAGTAAAACCTTCACGAGAACGTGGTATTACTATTGATATTTCACTTTGTAAATTCGAAACAAATGCATACAATGTTACTATCGCTGATGCATCAGGTTATCGAGATTTTATTAAAAATATGATTACGCGTACTTCACAGGTAAGTTCTTTTGTTTTCTTCTACAAAATTATACATATATGACTTTCCTCATAGGCTGATTGTGCAATATTAGTTGTACCAGCTGGTTTGGGTGAATTCGAAGCTGGTTTTAGCAAGTACGGTCAAACACGTGAACATGCTCTTCTTGCATATACATTAGGTGTAAGACAAATGATTGTCATTGTAAATAAAATGGATACAACAGAACCACAATTTTCTGAAGAACGTTTTAATGAAATCAAAAATGAAGTATCAACATATATTAAAAAAATTGGCTATCAACCTGAAACTATACCTTTTATTCCTATCTCGGCATGGTATGGTGATAATATGATTACAGCATCAGAAAATATACCTTGGTACAAAGGATGGTCAGTTGTTCGTAAAGAAGGTAATGCTACAGGCAAGACTTTGCTCGAAGCTTTGGACGCTATTTTACCTCCACAGCGTCCAACGGATAAACCACTTCGAATACCAATTCAAGATATGTATAAAGTTGGTGATATCGATACAGTACTTGTTGGTCGAGTTGAAACTGGTATACTCAAACCCAATATGATCGTTAATTTTGCTCCATCATCGAACTTAACAGCAGAAGTTCGATTCATTGAAATGCATTACAATGAACTTGAAGGTATATACTGTCTTAGTCTATTCACATATATTTATTATTTTATTTTTTATTTATAGAAGCTCTACCTGGTTGTAATGTTAGTTTCAATGTTCATGGTATTAGTGCTAAAGATCTTCGACGTGGTTTCATTTGTTCTGATTCAAAAAATGATCCAGCACAAGAAGCTCTAAGTTTTACAGCTCAAGTCAGTTTATAAAATTATTCATTCATATTTTACAGTCTATCATTTATTTTTATAGGTATTTGTACTGAATCATCCTGGTCAAATTAGTCAAGGCTATACACCAGTAGTTGATTGTCATACATCTCATATTGCCTGTAAATTTGCTGAATTAATCTCAAAGATTGATCGTCGATCTGGTCAAGTTATTGAAGAAGCTCCAAAATATCTTAAATCAGGTGAATCTGGTATAGTTAAATTAATTCCAACAAATCCAATGTGTGTTGAAAAATATGCTGACTATCCACCATTGGGTCATTTTGTTGTTCGAGATATGCGTCAAACTGTAGCTGTTGGTATTATTAAAGATGTTGAAAAGAAAGCACCTCCATTTGATAAAATGGTTAAAATGATTAATTCTGCTGCTGTAAAAAAAGACAAGAAATAGGGTTGGTGGTACTTTCGTAAACAGACATCACAACAACATCAGACATTTAAACAAGTGACATTCTGTTCTTTATTCTTAGAGACTCATTGGGAAGGACGACGAAAACAAAAAGATTTTTATTCTTGGAAAATATGTTTATTTTTGCTGTTTTCTCTCATTTGTAGTCGTATTCTTCACTTGTTTAGAATTAGTTATGATCATAGAAGTTTTTTGATGTTTGTGAAAGCTTTTTCCATTGAAATTGCCTTTTTTGTACAATCGATAAAGAAAATATGAACAATAATAATAATAAATATCGATATTTTTACTTTGATCTCTTTTATTGAATTTTCAAATATTTTGATTGATAATTGAATGAATCATATCAATAACACGAAATATTGATTGATTGGTACTTCGAATTCATGTTACAATAAAATCACGAGGATGACGATGAGAATTTGATTTTGATTGAATTTTGATGAATAAATCATTGAATAAACAAAAACAATCAGAAGAGAAAGAAATATTAAAAGAAAAAAAAATAATTTCCAAGGATTTTTTTTTATTTATAATTATTAACGTAATCGTTTATTGAGATAAATAAAAGAGATAGAAACTTTAAATAAGTAAGAATTTAATCATATCGTGAAGATGTTCTTGTCCTTTTATTCTCTTTTTTAATGGGAAGACCAAGGTAGAGAGAGATATATTCAAAAGAGATGTTATGTGATCGGTCATACATATCGCAACTTTTTCTTTCACAATATTTCATTAATTCTTCATAAAATCAGGAAAATGTCGAAAAAATATATATTTCTTTTAATGACAAAAGGTATAAGGTTTGACTTTCGAAGGCGCTATTTAAAACTCAGGTGGGATGACCGAGTATTGATGGATAAGCAACATAGTCTGGGGTATAACGGTTGTGACTTTTGAGAATGGTATCTTGATGGTATTTTTTCAGACAAAACATTATTTTCTTTCGTTATCAGTTCGTCAGTGGAATTAATTAAAACTGCAGGAGTTACGGGTATATTGTCATTTTTCTTGTGTAATTCTCTTTCGTACCGAATCAATTGTAAGAGAAAACCAAGATTAGGTTCAGCACAATGTCTTCGTTCGATTAAATAATTATAAGCTTTATCAAGAGAATCATGATGATATCTATAGATAAAGAATATGATGATAATGATTTTCAAAGCTGAAACAAAAACGTTTCATACTTTATCAAATAGGCGAGAACAATTGAAGATGAACGAGATACACCCATTTGACAATGAACCAATACTTTTTCACCTTTTGTTTTACAAGATTGTAAAAATTCATTTGTCATCTTAAAGTATTCAGCAATATCAGCGTATGTATCATCTTCTACATTCATCCATAGAACATGACATCGATCGAGAATATCTTGATCCAATTTACAATCTGATACATTGATGATATGTTGAATACCAAGTTCTTCAAGTAAGGTTTTATTCATTGCATGCTTTATATCACCATGATAAAGAAAATCATCAATGATCATCGATGGTGAAGTATAGTCTTGTTGTTTAATCGATATTAATTCTTGTTGATTCATTCGAAGATTCACTAGTTCTTTTAAATAGATCAATTCGGTCTCTGTAGGTCGCCATGTGAATTTTAAAGGAATGACCATCATATTCCAATCTGAATCATTCATTTCTGAGTCAAACATGACGTCTGAGAATGTTGTGAAATATTTTGCGCTTCTGTCAATTAATGACAGAAAAGGAAAGAAATTCTATTGGAAGAAATGCATAACCATTGATCAAGTCATTGAAGAAGATGTCATGAATAATAGAAATTAGATACAAAGCATTTTGTGATATTTTCGATATCAGACGAGCCGAAAAATAAAAATCTTTTTGCTATTTTATTTTCTAGGTGAAGTAAGTGAATTTTAATGGGCATGTCGAAATGGCATTATTCAACGAGTGAAAGAACTATTAGATAATATCTCGTTTGAGTATTTAAATCAATTCGAATGTAATGGAAGTATTCCACTTCATGCTGAAATTTTTCGTCTTTTTTATAATTAGATTAATCATTATGGTTTAACAGTTTATGAAGACACACAAAGAGAAGAACTTTGTAAGTTATTTTATCGTCGTGGACGTACTAAGCGTTTTTGTGATGATAATCCATTGTAAATGAATGTGATATATTTTAAAACAATGATAATGCTGATGATGGCGATGATCATGACGATAGTGATATAAATGAAGTATGTAAGGATGATCGTTGGTTATACAACTGCTTAAATTCGAGTATCAAAGAAATACAACAAATTTTACGCTTGTTTCAAATCTGATCTCAATCAAAACTATTCACTAAAATAGCAAATTGGAGCTATCCGCTAAATGCTCTTAATAAACTAATTGACGAGCATACTACCATAAGTCATAAACAACATAGAAAATGCGCATTGTTAGCTAAAAACACTTTGATAGATGATGAAACCGAACAATTAATTCGTTTATATATACTTCAAACATTTTTTTATAGTGTCATAGCTGAAGAAAACAATATTAGAGAATTCTATGCCGTCCTTGTTCTATCATATGATACATTAAAGGAACGACATTTTCAAGGAACATGCTACCGCGGTGTTAGAATAATCGAACATAGTATATACGCATATCGATAGTCTTTCAAATATCAAGGTATACTTATGTCAAAAGCTCGAGATGTTGCTATAGCATTTTGAACATCGTCTCGGATAATAATTCGCAGAAAAAGCGTATTATTAGTTTTTCATTTTCCTGATTCTTGTGGTTCTGCAATTGATTTATCAAAACTATCGAGTTATTTACCATATATTTCAGAATTTGAAAATGAAGATGAAGTACTTTTATTACCTTTTATCTTACTTACTGTTCGACAGATTGTAACTAGTCCAGTTTATGTGAATATGGTGGGTATGGGTGTGGGTGAGGACTAATGCTTTCTTTACTCGCATACACACCCACACTCTCAACATCAACCCACTTCCTCACCATCACCCACACCGAAACAGTTGAAAAAAAAGAAATATTTAAATGGTACTGGATCAGCAACGATTTATCATGATTTAGGTAGAGTAGTCTCATTACCAACAATTAGATTATGGCTTAACATGACAGAATACACCAGCTCCATTAATTTATCATACGCTTCGGGTCGTTCACGCACAATCCGAACAGAATCCATCTTGATTGTGTAGGTGAAAGACAGTAAACCCCCCTTCATAATACAAGACACCGGGTCATCTGTTACGTTGTAGCGTATAAATTATTAAGAAGGATCTTCTATTGCGAGGACGCATGTGGATACGGGTTTCTGTACTGTATCTTACTCACCCACACCCACACCCAGGGGTGGCGCGAGTCAGCCAACATTGGGGGGGTGTAACGAAAATTTTTTGAATTTTTGGGGGGTGTAGCATGATTTTTGTTCAAAAGATTAAGAAAATTTGCCGATTTTGTTGAGCAAAAAATAGAAATTTTCAAAGATTGGGGGGGTGTTACCCCCCCCCCCCCCCCCGGTCGCGCCACCCCTGGTCATTCATTAATGGAACTCGCTTTTAAATCAAAAAAAAATTAAGATATTGTAGATATTAGTTTTTAGTTTATTACTATAATCATTTTTTTTTGTGACTTATACTCTCATTCGAGATGTCGCCACTGTTACTTCATTTGACTTTGATTGGCAATTCTAGTCACGCTTCGTTTCATAAGATAATGTACTCGTAATGAAGTGCACAATTATTATTGCAATCAATCTCTCATAGATAGATGTAACCTTTCATCGTTCATCCGTATTAAATTGTCAATAGTTATATAGCAAACTACAGTAAGACCTCCCAAAATGAACACCTCTGGTTTGAACACATTTTTTGGTCCCTCCGATCGATTTTTGCTGTAAATAGACCTCCGCAAGATGAACACCTCCGACCTCTGAACAATGAACGCTTTTTTAAGTCCCTTCTGTAAAAGAAAACCTCTATATAATGAACATATAGTGATTAACTGTACGCTCTTCTATGAAATACAGAGCTGAAAAAATATGCTGTTCATATTAAGGAAATGATAAATCAGTTTTTGACGGTCAACTCATCATAACAAGCTCTGTCGTATGTATGGATCAAACAAAACAATGTGATTAATCGGCGATGAGTTAATCGATTCTATATGATAGGACAACATGCATTCTATTATCGATTGTAAAATAAAACAGAACACACACGTTAACTTTGTCTATAAAAATGCAGTTAATTAGTGAAAATGAAAATAACGCTTCATATCGTACAATTACTGCGAAGTACAAAATCTCGGTCGGTAGTATCTCAATTACCGACTTTTCTTAGAAAAAATAAATAGATGTGAATAATAGACAAAAATGCTTTCTTTTACTAGTTTTTGTTTAAAACAAAATAGATCTTTAATATTTTAAAGATAAAAAAAATTTTTGTTTTTATTTTTCACTTGATAATTGAATAAACATGTGAAATAATTGAAAAAGATAGTGTTTTAGAATTAATAGTAATAGATTTTAATAGCAAGATGCATAGCTATCATTTGTCCATACTAATATTATATGGTGTATATCTAAACCTTTATTTAATATGAAACCTCTGTAAGATGAACACCTCCTCTAATGAACACTTTTCAAGCGGTCCCATTAGTGTTCATCTTAGGGAGGTTTTACTGTATAACTGTTTTCATCATTATTATCTATTTGAATGGGTATTAAAGAATTTTTTCAACGTGATAATGCAAAACAAACTAATATTGATGACAATACACTTATTGCATTGGGCTATAAACCAGAACTTAAAAGAGAATTTCATTATCTGAGTGCTTTTGGACAAGCATGGGGATCACAAGGACTAGCTCCATCAATCGCTGGCTCGTTAATCTTTGCTCTTGGTTCTGGAGGTTCTGTAGCTTCAGTATGGACATGGATTGTTGGTTGTTTCTTCTTAATTCCAGTTGCTTTATCTCTTGGAGAATTAGGAAGTAGTAGGCCTACTTCTGGTGGTGTTTACTATTGGGTAGCAAAATTAACACCAATTACATATCGACCATTACTTTGTTGGTTTACTGCATATATGATAACATTAGGATATATAATATGTTACGCTAGTACAGTTTATGCTACGATAACAATGTTTCTAGCAACGATTAGTATGGCTACCGGTGGAAATCATGTTCCAAATAAATATCATGATTATGGTGTTTATGTTGCATTTTGTATAATAACATGTGCACTGATATGTTTCTCATCAAGAATTCTATCTATGTTAAATAATTTTTATGTTTTTTATCAAGGATCTTTATGTCTTGCATTAATTCTATGCGTAGTTATATCTACACCAAGTTCATACAGAAACTTTGCTTCGTTTGTTTTTATCAATTTTGAAAATACAGGTCACTGGACGAACAATGGTTGGGCATGGTGTCTTGGACTTTTAACACCAGTTTGGGTCGTCTCAGGATTTGAATCGAGTTCATCATTAGCTGAAGAAGCTTCGAATGCTAATAAAGTAGTACCATTTGCAATGATATCTTCATTATTAATTTGTTTCTTCGTTGGTACAGGAATTATTATTGCATTAATGTTTACTATGAGTACAGATATTTTTGCTTTACTTGGTAGTCAATTTGGACAATCTGTTGGACAGATGCTTTATAACAGTCTTGGTAGAAACGGTGCAACTACACTTTTCTTCTTCTTATTTCTTGGTGTCGTTTTTAATTGTGCAAATCTTGCATTTGCCGCTACTCGCAATATGTTCGCATTTTCTCGAGATGGTGGCTTTCCATTCAGTACATTTCTTCGAGTATTAAACGTACAGAAAATACCTATTCGTTGTATTTGGACATGTTGTTTCATTTCTATAATAATTGGATTATTAATGCTGGCAAATGTTACTGCAATTACATCCATATTCAATACTTCAATTATTGCCATGTACTTCGCTTATATGACACCAATTATATCAAGAATTATTTGGAAGGATATAACTCCTGGTGTTTTCTATTTAGGAAGATTTAGTTTTATCAATTCTATTGCTGCAGTTCTATGGATGATTTTTATTGTCATATTACTTTTCTTTCCATCATATCAAACACCCAATGCAGAACAAATGAACTATGCCATTGTTGTAGTTGGTTTCGTACTTATTTTTTGTTTATTATACTATTACTTTCCAAAATATGGTGGCAAGACATTCTTCCATGGACCTGTTCGAACTATTGACTCAAATGAAACAGTTCCTATGAAAACAATTATTACAAGACATTAATGTAATTGATAATTGTCTATCAATTGTATAGAACTATTTTTCTCTTCGTTGAGTTTACTACAGAGAGTCTTTAATGACAAATATATAAAATGTAAATAATCAATAGAGTTTAACTTTTATTTTATTTAAGATTCTAAAAAGAAAAAAATAGAAAAAAGTAAGTTAAATATGGATAAACTGAAAACTATTTTATCAGCCTTTGCATATGTTCAAGAAAATAGACAAACTATTAGCTTTAGCATTTGTTACACCCAGGTCCGGTTTGTTATCCTTATTGAAATCAAATACTACCACGGAAGTTGGGTTTTTCGGTGTTGTATACGTGATTTGAGTTTGATAATCTCCATTTCCATACCCAAGTAACACACTGATACTATCACTGTTACTATTGACCACTACTAAATCTATGATTCCATCATTATTAACATCATTTCCTGATACAAAGCTTGGACCTTTTTCAACTGCATAATTTGTTGCATTGCTAAAAGTTGCATTTCCATTATTGAGGAGTACACTGACATTATTCGAACCAGAGTTAACGACTACCAAGTCAATATTTTTGTCATTATTAAAATCGCCGGACATTAAAAAAGTTGGTGTTCTACCGACTGTATAGTCATTTGAATATATGAAATTTCCACTCCCGTTATTAAATAAGATACTAACTGTGTTGTTTTTTTTATTTGTCACGATTAAATCTGGTTTTCCATCATTATTTAGATCACCTGCTGTAACACATGTCGGAGATCCGGTAAAATTATATGTGTATTGAATTTCAAAACTTCCATTTGTTCTTCCAAACAATACATTGACAGTGGCATCTTGAATATTTGATACTGCCAGATCAAGTATCTTATCAGAATTGAAATCTGATGCAACGACGCATGAGGGTAATTGGCCAACTGTATAATTGACTGGAATATTAAACGATCCATTTCCATAACCAAAGAGTACATCGAGTGTATTGTTACCTTGACTGATTACTATCAGATCTTGTTTAGTATCATTATTAAAATCGGATGATATGACTTGATATGGAAAGCCACCAACAGTATTACTTAGTGGAATTAGAAAACTTGCATTGCCACTACCAAGTAATACAATGATATAATTATTATCTTCAGCAATCAATGCAAGATCTTGATTATGATCACCATTGAAATCATATGATACTAGCCACAAGCCAGATTCAGTATTTATAGCCTGAGCATCATAGGAAAAAGTACCATCTCCAGCACCTAGTACCACACTGGTACTATAGTCATCATTGCTTATTATTGCCAAATCTGATTTGTTATCATTGTTGAAATCAGTTGCAACAATGTATAGTGGTTGATAACTAAGATAATACTGGATACTTGATAGAAAGCTTCCATTCCCATACCCAAGTAGTACATTAACAGCGTATTCATAAGTGTCTATTATTGCTAAATCTACGTTATTATCATTGTTGAAATCAGCTGCTATCAAAAAACTTAAGTAAATACCAATCGAATCAAGAGTCGATGTTGTAAAACTTCCATCGCCATTGTTTATGAGTATAGTGATAGTGCCGTCATTATTATTGCCCGTCACTAAATCCGGGTTTTTGTCATTATTTAAATCAGTTAATATCATAGAAATTGGATAGTAACCAGTATAACAAAAATCTGAATAATTAAAAGATCCATTGCCTAAGCCAAAAAACAAATCAACATAGGGATCCAAACTATATGAGATTGCTAAATCCATTATTTTATCACCATTGAAATCGCCAGAAACTATTGCGGATGCGGGATCATAAATTGAAAAATAGGTACTATTTGGAAATAATCCATTGCCATTGTTAAAAAAGACACTAACAGTAATATCACCTTGATTCGATACTGCTAAATCCAGTTGACCATCATTATTAAAATCAGCAGAAATTACAAGATTTGGACCAACACCAACATCATAATTGACTGCATCTAGAAACAATCCATTGCCCAAACCAAATAGAACACTGACTGCATCGTCATTTGTATTAGTCACAACCAAATCTATTTTCTTATCATTATTTAAATCAACTGATATCATACTAGATGGTTTATTACCAGTAGCAGATTGCGTACTTCGAAAAATTTGCTCCTTATCACCTAATAGTAAAGCCACAGTATTATCTTTTGAGTTGACTATTGCTATATCGAGATATGTATCATTATCAAAATAGCCCACTACCGATGAAGATGGATAACGTCCAGTATTGATAGAATCAGATGGTTGAAATGGATTCTCGCATACATATTCTAAAACAAAACAATATTATTCTTTAAATAGAAAAAGAATATTAAAATCTTCATACTTGTTGTTTTTGATTTTGTTCCCATAATAACACCAATAATAACACCTGCAATAAATAGAATAAGCAGTAAACAAATTGGAATCATAAATCTTTTCTTTCGATAAAATGGACGTCTTATAAATAAAAAAAAAAGAAATAATTTCATCAAATAAAATAATTAGATAAGACTCACGGAATTTTTGGATAAATATGTGCACCTAAATATTAAAAAAAATATTATTAGTATATATATATAATAAATGATTGAAATACCTTCAAATGGTGGTTCAAGTGTCATCATTTCTGGTTCTACTTGTTTCAAATGAATAATATATAGATTCGCTGCTGGACTAAGTTGTGATTGAACTATCATATGAGTACCTGACATAAGAACAATTTCATCTTCAGTAACGAAATGTGAATGAGCTTTTATTGTTCGACCATTGATAGCTTCAACTGAAAAAAGTGATCGATCACCTTCTTGTCCCAAATACATATTATTTTCAAGTACAGTCATTTCAGTAGTACATGATGAAAATGCCCACCATGTCATAGCACTACCAGGTGGAAATTCTGCACTTAAATTCATAGTTACTCCACGCCAAACAGTTAATGGTGGAACACATGGTAATTTAACAAGAGCAGCTAAGAATAATTTGAGATATCTATGAAAAGGTAGAAGTGCTTGACGATCATTATTTTTCAGATTATAACTGAGTGTTGAATAGAGACTTCGATGAGGTTTATCCCATTCAATTGTATAAAGACGAATTGCAGCACTTTCATCAATTGATAATCCATCAGGTGGTTGTTCTGGAGTTTCTTTTAATGCTAAGTCAACATAGAATGATAGATTATGAAAGATATCAGCTAATGGAGAACATGCTTGTGCAAGTGGTAACAAAGGTTCTTCAGAATATCCTAGAATAGGACTTATTTCTGTACCATCACTTTTAGTGATATCTTTATCAACTTTTTTTGTATCTCGTCTCTCTGGTTGATCAGATTTATTTCTGTTAACAGTAGACTCTTTTTCTGATCTTCCTGTTTGTCTTTCACCACGTGATACTTCTGGATTGAGATTTTCATCTGTTCCATCTAACGGATGTATTACATTCTCTCTGGTATTGCCTCTTGGATTTCTTGCCTGCTGACGTTCGTTCTTTACAGTATCATCCAAGACAATATCTGTGGATGTTGTTTGTATACCAATATTTTTAGTCCGTATGTAATCTCGATAATTTTCCGATTCATCATCGAGTCTATTTGCAGTTAATTTAGTTTGTATGCGAACATTTCTGCTGGATTTAGGTTGACGATAATTTATTTGTTCGTCATTAAATGGAATTAATGTTTCCGTCACATTATGTATAGGAACATTTCTGTTTGATATTGTTCGTTGCTGTGAATAACTGTTCATATTTCTTTACTTTTGAAATGAATATTGCTAATCTATAATAAAAAATAAAGCATTCATTTCAAATATTATTACTGTCTTTCAAGATTCACTATAACAGACTAATACAAAATATTACTTAAAATATCAGTCGAATAAAGCAACTACTTTTAAAATCGATTACTTTTCTGTATTATTTACCGTTAACTGGAAAATGAATAAGATGTGCATAGTAAGTAGTCATGTAAAAAAAGTAAAAAAGTGCATCAGATAAAAAAATAAAAGAGTATATTATTTTTTTCTCATTATATAGTGATGGTTATGCCTAAATATTGTCTGTATCATAGTCACAAAATATATTATAACACATGCGTGTGTTAGTTGTGCTTCTATCGGCAGTCATAAACGTACTTCACCGATAATTTTAATATAAAGGCAGATAAAAAAAATATATTTGAAAAGTAATTATCTCTAACGGAGCATGTACATGTGCACGAATGTAAAAACTCGTATGCATAGGTACATTTTGTGTAGGTTTAGCTTCTTAATTATATATAATAATGTTTATCTTACTCTTTTCGTTCGTACGATAATGCAAAGACGTATTTTTCGTGTTATATTTTAATCACACATACGAGCTGTATATGTATTAAGTGAAAGTGTGGCTTTCTTCTTCACCTACACCCTCAAAATAAATTTAACATCGAAAACTAATAAAGTTTGTGAGTTAAGTATTAATTTCTAAATTGTTAATTAAAATCTTTTAAACTTTCAAAAGTACTAAATAATGAATATTTATTTAATTTATAAAAAAAAAACAATGAATTATTGTTTTCTTATTTGATAAAATAAAATTGGTGTAGATAGGGTACTAGAATAAAAAAATTTTTTTTTCGTCTGTGGTATATTCATTAAAAAATAATACTATTGAAGTTATCAGTTATGTTGTATTTGTTAGTTTTACTTGAAAACATAAACATGAATTAAATACTACAATATATAAGATAATTTCTATAGTTCTGTTTAGAAAATTCTTGACTTTGAAAGGAATATTTGTATATACTCAATAAGCAAATTGAATGCGTATTTAAAATAATATATCTTCATAATTAAAAATTTTTTCAACTGTATTAATTGATATACATGTTAACTTTCTAATTATTAGGTGCATTTATTGAATTTATCAGTAAAAAACATAAATTTGATACGTAGCAAACAAATGATGAGTAAGTCGTTATTTTTCGTCCGTTTCTTTTTACACACATCACACATATACTTGGATTCTTTCGTTCCTATTCATCACATACGTTTGTTTTTTTCCTTCCTTTCTCTATTTGTCATCCTTTTATATGTATATTATATTTGTTGAGATTTATCCTAGTTGCTCAACCTCGATTATGTGATAGATATTATCCAATATATAGTCTAAGATTTTTACAAATAAATAATGTGTGATCCAAGTATATTGATATTTAGTCTTACTTATCCGACACAAGTTCTATATACATATACAATGGCAAATTTTGAGTGTGGGTATTGTATTTGCAACACACCTACACCCACCCTCAAAGTGTTATTTCTAATTTTATTCATATTTTATGTTATTCGAATTCATTTATTTATTTTACGTTATATGATTTTATTTCATTTTAATTTACTCTAAATTCAATCTTAAATATTGAAATATTAAATTATTAAATATTATATCCTTCCTAAACAGGGCTCAAATAATTTTCCTATTAATTATTAATACATTATAAATTTACTCTATTTCGAATAAGGGATAAATAATTAAATAACATTCTTAATTCGTAATGCTCCATAAGCTTACGAGGGAAGTACCTGCTCTGTGCGAGATGAACGAGGTCTTGAAATATATAATCACTTCTGATCGAACTTTTTCAAAAAGTTCCCATTTGAATTTCTATTAGCCTTTTACACCCTCACATACAAACTTATGGAACAGTCTTTATTACTAAATGGATATATAAAAATAAACTTGATGTTTTTTAGTTCATTCAGATCGACGAACGACACGAACCCAAATACCATTTGTACTATTTAAATTTACGAATTTGCTCAATTGAAGTGGAACCTGAATAAAAAAAAGATCAAAAAACGAGCAAATGACTATCGCTTACTTCTGTTTTTTCACATTTCTGTATTTCAATCAAACGCAAGGCTTTAGCAATTCCAAGTTTAGCTTCTAATAATGCAAATCGCATGCCAATACAGTTTCTACAACCGTAAATAGATCAATATATTCTATTTATGTGAACATTTAAGATTAGTTCATACCGAGGTCCAGCACCGAAAGCCAAATAAGTCATTGGATGTCGTTTCGCTTTTTCTGTTGATGTAAATCTATCAAAAAGTTCATAGATAAATTCTATGACAAAAAATAATTTGAATCTCTCACCTTTCAGGAATGAACTTGTCTGGATCAGGCCAAACTTTAGAATCATGATGAATAGGATACACTGGTATATGAATAATTGATCCTTTTGGTATATGATAGTTACCAAGTTGATAATCTTCCGAAGCAACACGATCAAATCTATCATCGCAATACTATTATTCAAATACAGAAAAGATCAATAAAACTAACCTGATAAATGGTGGATACATACGAAGTGTTTCGCTAATAACCATATCCAAATATCGAAGTTGATGAAGATTTTCATGAGTAATTTTATTCTTAAATATATATATATATATCAATTCATAATCAGTATATTTTCATCAAAATAATTTACATCACCAATTTCATTTCGAATTTCTTCATAAATTTTTTCCTGAATAATTGGTTCTGTTGACATGACATAGAAAAAGAATGACATCAATACACTTGTAGTTTCGTAACCAGCAACCATAAAGACAAGAGCTTGACCAACTATTTCTTTATCATTCAATGTATGTATACTCTTCGTCAGGGTTTTCTCTTGTTCTTGACATTTCATTTCTTCTTCATGATCAACCATAATTTGAATAAAATCATTCCGTCTTTCCAAATGTTGTCGACGACGACTTAGTATTTGATTTACTAAACAACTTGTATAATCAACAGCATCAGATGGTAAAAATGAATAACCCTTTTTGCTTAAATAACTTGCCAATCGAGTAGAAATTACTGTAATAAATAATATATATATCAAAGATAAAAAATATAGATTATTTTTGTGAATTCTAATAAACATACAAACGATTAGAATTGAAATAGATGTCTTTACAAAATCGACCGTAAAGAATTTTTTTAAATGATTGATCAAAATGACATTTTCGTTTTGTAATGAATTAGTTTCAACACCAAATAAACAAGTAGCAATATTATCAAGTGTATATTGACCATTGAGTCTATTGTTGTAACAAAAAGAAAATTTATTTAGATAAGTAAAAATTAGACTAACACTTTAACATCAAATATTTCTTGTTTATCTGCATAGTCGAGAAGACGTTTATTATACATATCACTAACTTCATCCATAAGATTGTACATCTATTAGGAAAATATTCTATAATACTACTACTTTGAAATAATATTGATATTTACTGATTTGAGTTTTGCTGTGGAAAAAGTTGGTGATACAATAGTTCGAGCATTTTTCCATTCTTCATCTTGTAATGTTAAAAGTCCATGTTCAAATGGACCTGATATACCACGAATTACCTATGATGAGAAGGATGTTTTGTAGTGAAAGAAACAGAAACATGTGTTTATATCTTACGTATCGATTGATAAATAAATGTGAATCTTTAATAAGTACATTTCGAAGAAGATCTGGATCACTTACAAGAATCGTTGGCTCTTTTCCATCGGACAGTCTAAAGAAAGTATATTTTTGTACAAAGTATGAAAATATATAGATTTTTTCTTACCCGATGACTTTACCATATTTTTGAATAAGATCCATATCATATTTATTCAAACCCTATAGAAAAAAAAGTTTTAAAATATGTGTAATATCAAATAGTCTCCATACTTTATGTATGATACTAAAAATGTCACCAAAAAAAGGAATTGGTGCTGGACCAGGCATTCCAAGACGACGAAATATGTTATTAGTACGACGATTGTACCTGAAATTCACATTCATTATTTATTCATAATTAATAAAAATGCAGTCGTAAATACTCACACATAATAAGCAAAAACTATGATGAATCCAATCAGTAATATCAATGTAGTCGAATTACCAATTAGAAAGAAAACCATTTTTATAACTGTTATTTGAGATAGACTTTGAAAAAATAAACCTTTTTCTTTACATATATTTATATGTACTTTTTTTTTACACGAGAAGAGAGCGTCATTATTTTGCTTCGTTCTGTTGCCACGTCGTCATATGACGACATTGTTTACGATGTGACGCATATTGCATCAGTTGAATTTATTTTATACCTATTTGGAAAGATGCCAAATAACGTATACTTCAAGAACGAGTGTAGGTGTGAATGTGGTTCTAACATTCGAAATAATATCCATACCCCTCAATAACGTATAACAACGAACTCACACAACGTTTTTTCAAATGAGTTTAATAGATTGTCCAATTTCAATGAGTCATATTCACCGTAAAATCAAACAGGAACGTTGATTATTTTTATACGATTGTTAAGTTGTAAGCAACATTTTTGTTTCATCTATCATGATACACGAGGAGAAAAATCGACAAAACATGTGCATTTCTTTGCTCGTTCTATACGTAAGCTTCCATGAACTTACTTTTTTTATCATATTACTGAAGAATCCATGAAAGATGCTCCCGCGACAATTACTTCCCGGATATTTGCTCTCGTGATATTTGCTCCCTAATATCAACTCTCGATCTTGAGGGTGAGGGTGTGGATGTGGGTATGAATCCGAGTTAAGCATAAAGACACACCCACCCTCAAGATGGATGTCGATCAACCATATTAATATTATTACAATCATTTTCAAAAACTTTCACTTTTTTTCTGTTTTAGAAATTTAACTTTGAAGAGTACTGTCTTAAAAAAGATAAGAAACGCGTCGAAATATTGAACTGTGAATTTTTTCAATTATTATATATATAATTTTTACTTCAATAACAACATAATCGATTGCTGAAAAGCAAAAATTGAGAACAGCAGATTGTATTTGTCTTTCTTCACGAGAGATAGGTCAGCCTAATTTTTAACTGCAAATATTACTTGGCACATGCAAGTATAAAATTAACTTAAAATCAATTAATCTAATACAATAATTTAACACCAAAACTATTATGGTGGAACAGATAATTTAGGCTGACTGAAAAAAAATATAAGACTTCTGCCTTTTAAGAGAAGTCTTGCAACTGTGAATATCGGCAAGAAATAAACGGAATTTCTACCTGTACCAATACTCGCATCCACACTCACATTCTCACATGCTTTTTCTACTATAATAGTTTTTGTGATAAACTATTGTATCCGTTTAATTGGTTTTCAGTCAGTTTTATGCTTGCATGTGCTA